ATCTATTATTACTTTATTTCTTTTAGTTTTATTTATTTTTCACTGAGACAGGGTTTCTCTTTGGAAACATGCCTGCCTCTGGCTCTGGAGTAATTCCTAGTGGACAGTGTCACCACAACCAGCTTCTCTACTTATATACCACTTTGCCGTTTCTTTTTCTCTCTCAATCTTATGTATATTTTTAAACATACTGTAAACTTTAGAGGTTTTCTACCTCCAAGACTGACTTTACTGTAAATCTTTATGTTTTTCTGGCCACGTGTCTTATCTGTTAAAACTGCGGCAGTTTAAACTGCAGTTTTTCCAAGATGGTGGGCATAAGAGTGATTCCAGCTCACCGTCACAGTCTATGGTAACATCCAGCAAAAGCTGCCTGCTTGGAGATGTGGCCACTGCCACTTCCAGGTGTTCGTACACACCTTTCAATTGTTAGCAGAGTCTCTTAAAAGAACCTTGTTGGTTTTTCCTTTTTTCTTTCTTTCTTTTTTTATGCTGAGTCAGGAAGACTCCCTTAAGTACGACGAGTGAGTGCTTGTCGCTATCAAAACAGAGCCCACCTGAGAAAAATGCTGCTACCAAAAAGCCTTGCTTCTCTCTGTCCTTTTGTTTCCAAAATTCCTTTAAAGCTTTTGTCGTTTTATGAGGAAATTCAAACCCACTTCTGACACCACATATGGACATTTGTTTTGAATTGTTGGACATGGAATAGTGTAGTAAGTTAGCTTGCGGATTCATGTTTAGCTTGATTGTCCAGGTGAGGGTTTTTTAAAAATCTGTATGAAAATAGGTGTAGGATTGTTGGTTACTGATAGTGAAGTATAATTGTATTTATTTGCTACACATACTTTTACAGTTCTTGTTTGGGTACTATGGCTGGTGTTGTATATAAATGTATACAGAAAGTAATATTCATCAAATATGCTGAAAAGTATATTTGGTTGGTTGAGTACTTTTTCTTTGAGAAATGATCTGAGATACATCCACTTAAGAGTTGGTATGGTGGTGTATGCTGTTAATATGTAGACTGAGAAGGAAATACATTTAGATCATTTTTTGCTCACAACCTGAATTAGATGCTACTTGTTTCTAAATGAAACCTAGTTTTGACTAATGAATAGGGTTTAGACAGATGGTTAAGTGGCTAAAAGCATAGGCTGCTCTTGCAGATTGACTGGCTTCACATAATTTATTGTACTCACAGAGAAATTCATAGGCACTTCTAATTCCTCTTATATTAGACTAGACCCACTCTTCTGGCATCTGTGGACAGCAGGCACAAACATGTGGCAACATCAGAGCAGAGTCAAAACAGTCAGAACTAAATCAAAATGAAGTATCTTAAAACTAAAGAAAAAAATAAATTGGAAAAATTATGAATCAAGAAAATTTATTTTACAAAGGATAGAATTAAGATTGTGGAGAAATCATGGAAAATTTCAGAACCCACTGTATTTTACACAAACCTACATATCTTATTTCAGCTCTATTAATCATGTTGCATTTTGTCAGGAGGTTAACAGTTCTCTGAGTGTGAGACTCTGGGAACAGGCAAATCAGGTCTGACTGTTTCAGGGTATGGTGTGTTTGTGACTGTGGTCAGTAAATCCTTCTCACTAAAAGAGGGACCAAATACACATGTCACTATAACTTCTTTTTCCTTATCCCATAACTAGGAAGTACAATAATCAACTAAAGAAAAATTTTGAAAAGAAGCAAAAAATCATGAATGAGACGACAGGTCATTGCATGCAACCTCCTCAGAGACCCACTGGAGACAAGACAAAGAAGGAAATATGCCCGGGGCCATTGAGAAAAAGGACACCCCAAGAAGAGGAGGAAGAAACCAGTGTCAGTACAACTGGAAATTTCAGAACCTGTGTTCTATGTGAACTTTAATAAGTGGATTTAACTGTGTGGCAGGGTGGCTGTAACTCACTTTCTCTGATAGAAGCTAATCTAATCTGGGCAGTCTTCTCTCAGGTTACTTACACTGAGAGCAACTTATGAGCTCCCTTGTATAACTTCAATGTTATGATCAGCCTCATATTTGTCCAGTTTGCCATCTGCAATTTATTGACTGACACATATTTAGCTGTCCATTCATTGCTGACTGAGCATGGAAATCAATACCTCATACATGCTAAGCAAGTGTGTGTTGCTTAAGTAAAACCCATAACTTATTGGTGTATTCCAGGGCTGCTTGCTATAACAAAGCCGTTTACAACATTGGTGGAACACATGCATGTGCTCTACACTTTAGCTCTATCTCCTGACTTCATTTTACTTTTTGCATTTAGACCCAACCTCAGCAGCAATTTTCACAGGCAGACCTGGAGCTATTTGTATAGACAAGGTTTTTCTTAAACTCATGTTTCTCTACCAGTAACTTCCTGGGTGATGGTTTTAAAAGTGGGTGCCAAAATATCTTATCACTGTCATCCATTAGATGCAAGCTTATCTCTGAAACGCTCTATAAAGTGGCACCTATGAATGACTGAATAATCCTGTCTTTCTTGGCAGATTATGGAGTATGGTTTTCAGCTTCGTCCTATAATCAAGGTTGAATCTAACCTTTGTGGGACTTTGATACTTATGTGACATTGTAACTAAATCTGTGTTTACTCCCCTGTCAACACATTAAATGCAAGAATTTTGGAGCCTTTGGACACACAGCAAGGAGCAGATTGTGTCCCATGAAACACTGGGGGGAATCCCTTCCTGTTCAGCCTCTGGTGTCAAAAAAGGAGAAGGAGAGGCTGAGAACAGAGAATGTCCAGCACCCCCAGATTCCAGGAATGTTTAAAACGACTGAGTGCAAGGAGAAAGAAAGGCAAATGTGAGCATGGGACACATCCAGAATTGTTAATGGGCACGGGCTCCTGTGCAGATATGTATGCTCAACATATACAGATATTTCAGGACACAGCAAAAAAATACCAACGGCTACAACAGAGAATAGTGCACTCAGCTCATGTAGTGTTGATAACAACCAGAGAAGAGGAGGCAGATAGAACTAGGAATGTTGTTCACTGTGGACAGAGCAGCAGTAGGTTCAAATGAAGGAATGCAGTGCTGAGCTGTTGTATTGATCAGGGGCATTTTTACTCTTCTCACATGCACAGTTGTCTGTGTTCCTTCCCAACAACAATTGAAACAAATATGGGCATACTTGTAAATCCAGCAGAGGGGCGATGGGTAACAGTGGATCAGAAGTTCATGGCCTTCTTCAGGTATCTTGGGTTTTAGAGGCTACACTTATTTCCCATATATACTGTTGGTATTTACTATAAAGATATTGAAATTCTAATCCCTGTGTGTGTGTGGAAGGATTCAGGTGTGTTGCCAGATACTGAGGAAAAAGATGATCCTAGATCAAATAAGCAAATCTCACTTTTGGTTCAGTACCTCCTCACTACATACAAGCTGGGTATTAACTATAAAAAGTGATTGATTTTCATACCTCAGACATAGAGTTTCTGCTGATCCCAACATTTAATGCTCTGTGCTCTGCAGGCAAGAAATGCTCCCAATGAAAATTATGCCAAAGAAATTTCCCAGAAGCTCTCCAAAGAAGATAATGAGCAGCTGGGAAGAACCAGTAGAATCATGTCCCTTTTTGAGGGTGAGTCTCCCTTGCTTGACTGCTGTTTCTTTTAGATGCCACCTATATCTTCTGCTTAGCTGCATCCCTGGTGTTGGCATTATAGGAAAGAACAGGAAAGCTTATTTAACTTCTCTATCAGCTTCTCCTGGACTGGCTTTCCATTTTCTTCAATTATCCACCTCTTGTTTCCTGCAAATTAGTTACCTCTCTTACTTTATCCTTGCATTTCTTTTCATCTTCTCATGCCCTCCACATTTCTTTTTCCCTTGCCTTCTTGATATCCCTAGGGTACCCTGCAGAGCTCCCTATCTTCCTCCACTACTCTCTTTATATTCTTCTCTCTTTACATTCTCTTTTGCTTCCTGGCAAGAGGGATTTATTCAGCCTATGATGACCTTGATCATGCTCTTTGACTGAGGTTGGACTTCATCTCCAGATTACCTAATTCGACTCCCGACATACTGGGATTGCAGATGTATAATGGCATGCCTAGCAAGTTTTTATTTTTTGGAGTCATGGATTGTAACTTACCCTTGTCTAAAACTCGACATGACATTCCTTTACAGCTGCATGTTCTGGGATCACAGACTTGCAGCACCACATATGTCTTTCAGGGTCTTTATTTGAATATGATAATATTTGTCAGACAACATTTCTGAACACATGTAAGAAGGAAAACTTACACAGGAAGGTTAAGTTTGAGTCCTTAAATTTCTTAGTCAAGAATTTTGCTTCTTATCAGAAAGGACTTCAATCAACAAAATTTATTGAGAAACTTCAACACAGACTATAGACTGTGAGATTAGGCACACATGCCATGGTCAACAGTTCCAATTTCTTCGTCAATATCCAAGTCTTTGACCATGGATGATTGTGAGACTAACTTCCAACTGCTGATATTAGCAGTTGTATCAAAGCACATGCCTTGGAATACTAAAATACACAAATTTTACATGGCTTCCCACCTGCTACCTCCTCCTTTGGCCAATGATCAACTTCCAGCTTCTTGAGTCTCCTTTGGGCCCAATGTTTCCAGAAAATCATGACTTAACAGCCTATGCTATCTGATGGTTGGTTAAAATTCTGAGGCTTCCTGTGTTTCATGTCATCTAGAAGTATGATCAAGACATGCCACTGATAAATGAACTAATATTTTTGGACCTATTTCACAAGCTTAAATTCTCAACAATCTTGGGATTATATGACAGACTCCAAAATTCCCTCACAGAAAGCCTTACCCTCCCTGTGGAGCAGAGGGGGAATCAAGTGGAGTGGGGGGTTTGAGAAGGTGGGGGCCCAGGAGGGAAGGGAGGGAGGTGGAAATGGGAGAAATATGTAAAAAGTTAAATAAAAATTATTATAAAATAATTAAGAGGCTTATTGAGCAAGAAGGGTATAAAGGTTCAAAAATAAAAATAAATCAAGCTTTTTAATTTAACTTTGGTATATAAAACAGAAGTCATTGATACATGGACAATTAAAACTCTTCCTAATCCACAGGTTTTAAAAAGCATTATAACTCAGCACGGAACCATCTGCTTCTACTTATGTTCACAGTGAGACCTGACACAGTATTTTGTAACTAGATGCTACACATTCACTAACAAAACCAGAAGCCCAATCTGGAAAATAATTTGAAAAGTTCCCATCATATTGTGTTGATATTGCCCATGTGTTTTGTTTGCAGAATCAATGTCTGACATGTACTTCCTCCATGAATTCAAACTTCAGTCCTACTAATGTTGGAAAATAACAAATGAAGACAGACAGACAAGACATAAAGAAAGAATGGAAGAAAGAAGAAAGGATGAAATAAGAAACAATGAAAATCAAGTTGCACACTATAGAGTCTGTAGATACTTCATTACCTGCCTAATAGTATAGGCTTTACATGCACGCAGAACAAGGGAATCTGACCCACCTGCATTTCTTGCTTGCCTCCTGGTGCACATGTGAGTCTCTGAACCTCAGTCTGGGCATAGACTGTAGAAGTTGTTGTTGATATGGCAAATCCCTCTGGGTTATATTGGTTGCCAAATATTCCAGGGTTTTCACTGAGGTTAAACCTTCTCTTTTGCGTCTTGGTTGCTGATAGTGGTCCATTTTCTGAAAAACCACGATGTGTTATCAGAAGGCCAATGCCAAGCTGAGGCCTGTAGGCCTCTCTCCACTGGTATAGTCAGGTAGATTCTAAGACAGTTGAACTGAGAAAACTGTCTTATGTTATTTATCTCAAAGAGCCTTGAAGGATGTTTCCTGTGGGGAGCCGCCCCCACATTCTCTGTTACAAGATGGCGCCGACATCCGTTGTCTTTTGGAGTAAACAACCTTGGTGCGCACGTGCCTGCTACTTTTCCATCCCTTACTCTCTGCCTCTCCCGTGGCGTCATATGGGCTGATGAGCAGGAGCCAGTCAGGAGATGACACGTCTGAGACGGGGACTGCTGAGCTATATAAGGGTTGGGCTTTTCGCTCCCCGTGTCTCTGCTTT